TGTGCGAGTGCATGGGGCCGTAAGCACGGTAACACTCACAACCGAATAAGGTAGAAGAGTTTGTGCGAAAGTGTTTGTGCTGTAATAAATTCTCACTTTCCAAATAAATAAATAAATAAAGTGTTTGTGCCGAAGCTCACTCAATTGCTTTGTATGCATCTGTACGAAAACAAAAGTCCAGATTCATGCGACTCATCCATCCACTTGGATGCTTGGTATCGGTAGTCGCCCCTGCTTTCCGGAAGACGAGCTCCTCCCCTTCCTCTCACCCTTTCGGACCTTTCCTCTCCTCGCCCGGCTCCCCCACCTCGCCAACGGCTAATGAAGACAACGGAGATTCAGTGCTACGGTGCACCTTGGAAAAAGGCCAGAATCTGAACGTGTTTCTGCCTAGTTTCATTCAATTCAGCCCCCTTCCAGCAATAACTGGTGCAGACTTAGGGCCATTTCCCACTGGCAAATAGCATTGGAATAAGTGTCTGAATCTGGACGTCTTCCACGAAGATATGCAGAAAAGCAGTGTCTGAATCTGGACGCTTTCCACGCAGATATGCAGAAAAGCATTTCAGTCACAGTTGTTTGCACTTATCCGCAAAAGCGAGCAGGTTCAGACACTTACTCCAATCGTTTTTGCGTGTGGGATGTTCAGCGGTCTTGGATGGTGGCAAAGCCCAACCATGGGAGAGGCAAATAGCATTGGAACAAGTGTCTGGATCTGGACGTTTTCCACGCAGATATGCAGAAAAGTTTCAGTCACAGTTGTTTGCACTTATCCACAAAAGTGAGCAGGTTCAGACACTTATTCCAATCGTTTTTGCCAGTGGGATCTCGAGTCATCCAATCTTCTTGGATGTTTAGCCGTCTTGGATGGCGGCAATGCCCAACCATGGGAGAGAAGCCGTTCGTGACGGTTGCTGTGAGCGAGTCCCGTAGTGTGCCCCACGGGACTGCCTAGTGACGGTACCATTCTAGAAACGAGCAGATTTTCCCTCTTCGCTGTTAGAAATGAAGTACTCCAGGGGCTTTCTATTGACTGGAAAAGAAAGCACGGTCAATACGAAAGACTTAGAGTACTTGATTTTTTATTTTTTTTTCGACAACCACCAATCAAAAACAGACTTGCTATTTTTTTTCCCCACATCCTGTTATTCAACAAAAAAAAAAAACAAGAAAAAAAAAATTAAAACACAAATTTTAAATATACAAACATCGTTATTTCGCTACCCTCGGATTTCGATGCAGCAACGGCTGGCGGATGTCCCACAGACGTCCCACACGTGTTGCCGTGCGACAATATACCTTACTCGTTTGCTAGTGGAATCGTGCCCCGGCCTCGTTCCAATGTTTTGTAATGAATTGTCTACGCTTTCCAAAAAAAAAAAACAAAAAAAAAAAACTCGCTGCAGGTGCGGTTATTCCTTCGATGGCGTTCTAGAGAGTTCCAAGGAGAACGATAGCGGGCCGGGAGGCCGAAGTGGCGAAGGGATAAGTCCTCTCAGAGATCTACGGATTGAAGCGAAGCGGATTCGTATCTTGATCGACGGTCGAAACGCGGTGCCTCTTTGGTCTCTTGGCGGGCAAATGGGACACGGCTAATGGCAACTAAGCTTAGTGTTTTGGCGCGTTCACACTTTTGGCACGGCTTCGCACGGCGAGCTACCGGTAGCGAGCGTCTGCTCAAGCGTTGGCCGAGATACTTGATCCTCGGTGACTACGGGTAGCTGCCCTCCTCTCCTCTTGGATGGATGTATACGAGACATCTTTCCGGTCGCATACTGTCACGAAATACCGGATCCTCGGTGACAACCGGCAACCGGTAGCCACCCTTCTCATGAATGTATACGAGGTATCTTTCCGGTCGGATACCGTGACGTGCAGGGTGCGTTGTGCTCGGGCGGGGAGTGCACGCTTGCGTGGAAGGACAGCGGGCAGCGGGTCCCCTCAGCCGTTGTGTGAAAGTGAAAGCCAAAGGCCTTTTCCGTAACATGCGTAATCGTGTGTGTACTGTACAGAATGCTGTGTGCGGGGACTTTCGCTGATAGTCAGCCGAGTGGAGAGCTGTGATGAACTATTTGGGCGGGCTTGCATGCAAAAAACGAACGGTTGAGAGGAGGAGAAGCGCGGCGCGGGAATCGTGGATCGTGGATGGGGGTATGTCGAGCAGCGCAGACCCGCGCATGTCAAACAGGCGTCAGAGATTAGGTTTGCTGTTGAAACAACATATGGATGGCCACTGATTGACGGCGAGAATAGGCAAGAGGAGAGGACTGATTGGAGGGGTGAGGAGAGGAGAAGAGGAGGGAGAAGGAGAGGAGAAGAGGAGGGAGAAGGAGAGGAGAAGAGGAGGGAGGAGGAGTGATTGACGTGAGGAGGAGAGGAGAAGAGGAGGGAGGAGGAGTGATTGACGTGGGAAGAGAGGAGAAGAGGAGGAGAAGAGGAAAGAAGCGGTTTTGGTAGGAGAGGAGAAGTGATTGACGGTGGAGGAGAGGATAAGCGAGGACTGATTGGCGGGAGAAGGAGAGAAGACGAGACGAGAGGACTGATTGACAGGGGAGCAGGCGAGACGAGAGAAGAGATTGGCGGGGGAGGGGACGGGAAGAGGAAAGAAGAGGTAAGGTGACTGTGGAGGAGAGGAGAAGAGGAGTAGAGGAGGAGAAGGAATAACGGGCAAGGAAGAGAGAGAAAAGGGTAACGAAGCCATTTTACTTAGCAGCAGCGAAAATGAGCTTCACGGGACCTATTCGTCAAGACTGGGAACCGGTGGTGGTGAGGAAGAAAGCACCCACCGCCGCGGCGAAGCGAGATGAGAAGGCTGTGAACACAGCGCGACGGACGGGAGGAGCGGTGGAGACGGTGAAGAAGTACAACGCAGGGAGTAACAAGGGAGCATCGACGAGTACAGGACTGAACACCAAGAAGCTGGACGATGAGACGGAGGTCTTGGCACATGAGAAGGTGTCTACTGACCTGAGGAAGAACTTGATTGCCGCGCGGATGGAGAAGAAGTTGACCCAGGCACAACTGGCACAGCAAATTAATGAGAAACCCCAAGTTGTACAAGAGTACGAGTCGGGAAAAGCCATCCCCAATCAGCAAATCATCAGCAAGATGGAGAGAGTTCTGGGCGTGAAGTTGCGCGGTAAGAAATAGTCAGCTAGCTAGCGATGAATTGCTTGCTCGCTTAGCAGAGAAGAAGCTAAGTGGTTGCGGGCGACGCCAGTGTGTGTGTGTGTGTGTGTGTGTGTGTGTGAGAGAGAGAGAGAGAGATTGAGAGAGAGAGAGAGAGAGAGAGAGAGAGAGAGAGAGAGAGAGAGAGAGAGAGAGAGAGAGAGAGAGAGATGCTGGTTACGGCGGTCGCGTAAATGAAGAAGACAGTGAAGAGAGAGAGAGAGAGTGTAATGAAGGCGGGCTAGTCAGGCAGGGATGAGAACGAGAGCAAAGCGGAGGGAGGAGACACGGCGGGGGGCGTGGGATTGACAAAGAGACGAGGAGAGGTGGAAAGACGGATGCGTACTGAGTTTTCTGGGCGCTAGCGATCGGGAAATTGATGGGAATATGGGCAGGGAGGGCAGGCGGCGAGGAGGAAAGGGACTTTTGCGGGCGCACAGGCAGAGAGGGAAGGAACTTTTGCGAGATCGAGAGAAGGGAGTTTTGCGAGAGGGAGACAGGGAGAGAGATGGAGAAAGAGGGAGGGAGGGAAAGAGGGAGAGAGGGAGACAAGGTACTGTGCGAGAAAGACGGGACTGTTGCGAGAGGGAGAGAGGGGAAGAGAGATGTGTGTGCGTCAGTCAAGGAGAGAAGACTATGATTACCTGAATCTGGAAGTGGTGTGTGCGCGATGTCTTAGCAGGTGCAAACGAGAGGTAAGACGGCTGAGGTGCGCTGACAAATGCACGGGAGTGAGATCATATGCGGCGACGAAGAGGCGCGCAGTGATTGACCTTTATCGCTTTGTAAAGTCTGATCGATATGCTGATTGTTGTTGACCTGAGTCCACTGCGATTCTCTCCGTGCTTTTGTAATTATACGGATAGGCGGATGAAGGATAAAGGATACATGATTGACTACGTGCTCAGTCATGGGGGAATTGAATTGATTGAATGCGGGGAATGTGTGCACTCGTTGATGTGGGTTCTCGTTGATGGACGAAGAAGCGCGAGGGAGTCATCGCGCTCGGTTTATCGGTGACAGGCAGTTGGGACCGTTTCGATCTGGAATGGGTGAAGACGAACAAGGCGGAGTGAGTGATTGAATGATGTTTGTTGGCGCGCGCGCTGCTACCGTCATCACCCGAATAGAACGTCCGGCAATTCTCGACGCATGTGGATTGAAAGTTGCATCAAATACACAGCCATGTGTTCTGTTCTGGTAAAGACGGTAGGTTTGTGTTCTCGACGGAGAAGGAATGAAAGTATGGGCGTGGGGCAAGGAAAGAATCGCAGGTAGTGGCCAGTGCGTCGTGATCGGGACGCGGGTCCAGTTCACAGTTATATCACGAGAGAGAGAGAGAAAGAGAGAGAGAGAGAGAGAGAGAGAGAGAGAGAGAGAGAGAGAGAGAGAGAGAGGTTTCGTTATGAACAAGCTCGTAACTCTTGGAGAGTCCCCAGGATGGATGGGGGAGAGGGAAAGGGAGGGAGGTGGGTGAGGGAGGGAGGGAGGTGTAAAAGAGCAGCGAATGAATGGGCGGAGTGAAAGGGACGGGGTTTGGGTTAATAGATGACAAGTGAAATATCTCCGGGGCTGTCTCGAAAGGGTTTTGTCCTTTCTTTTGGGTTTCAGACTTACTATGTGTAGTCTGGCGCTGTGAACTCGGCGTTGTACATTGACAAAGTTCTCGGCGTTGTACATTGCAAGGTTTTATTCAGGGTTTTGATCCAACGGTTCAATCTATATTGGAAATGGGGATCGCGTCGGAGAGTGTGAGGATTCTGTCTGTTGAACTTTATGGGGCATTTTAAGGGACTTGTATGTAATTGGTGATACGCTGACATTTTTGTGTGGGGTACGGGGACATAGTATCTGGACCGTTCTTTGTTTCCCATTTTAGGAAAGCTTTCTTCGGCTCTTCGGCGTGCCTTTTTTGTTTTTTTGTTTTTTCGCCTGCCATCTTTTGTTCTTTTTATAGGAACACTTTCTTTTTTTGTACTTCTGTGGTTGGTAGAGGGGACAACTGTGAAAATTGTGGTCGTCGTTGAGGATATAGCTGTGAAATTGTGATCATCGCTGGGAAGATGCCTTGAGATCCTGCGGAATGGTGCACATCAGCCCAAAACACGTTTTTCGTTGGTGATAGCCGCGAAATTGTGATCAAAATCACACATCCACACGTTTTTTAGACTTAGTTCTTTCAGCAGGTTCTGGACGGGCGAGTTCAGTTTTGAGGGAGGCAATCATACTGAAAGAACTACGTCTACAAATGTGTGGATGTGTGATTTTGATTTGTCGAGCACTTGCTTGTGAATGTGATGTCATATGTGGCTGTTGTACTTCTGCTATACTGCTGCTATACTTCTGCTATACTGCTGCTATACTGCTGCTATGCTGCTGCTATACTGCTGGGATACTAGTGGCGTTATCCTGCCGCTTTACTACCGCTTTACTCCCGCTTTATCATGCGACTAGGGGGGCTGTTCTATGCGGCTACGTGTGTACTACGGCTGTACTGTGCGACCAAGGCTGTACTTTGCGACTGCTGCTGTGCTATGGAACTAGTGCTGTATTATGCGACTACTCCTGATCTATTGCGACCACGTCTATACTGAAGGTGCGACAATGGCGTTACTACGAGACCACGGCTGTAGTATATACGACGATGTCTGTACTAAGCGACTATGGCATGTACTATGCGACCACGTCTGTATTATGCAACCATAGCTGTTCTATGCGACTACTGCTGAACTGTGCGGCCACGTCTGTACTATGCGGCCACGGCTGTACTGGGCGACTACTGCTTTTCTGTGCGACTACTGCTGTACTTTGCGACTACTTCTGATCGATTGCGGCCACGACTGTACTGAAAGTGCGACAACGGCATTAAGCGATCAAGGCTGTACTATGCGACCACGTCTTTACTAAGCGACCACGTCTGTACTGTGCGACCACGTCTGTACTGTGCGACTATGGCTGTACTATGCAATCACGTCTGTATTGTGCTTCCATAGCTGTAGTTAGTTTGCGACGACTGCTGTAGTATGCGACTACTGCTGTGCTACTATGCGACTTTGACTGTTGTGCTATTAGACCTAATATGCTGTACTATACGATTATGGCCTGTACTATGCGCCTACGGCTCTAGTATGCGACTTTGGCCTGTATTATGCGCCTTTCACTGTGCTATTAGGCGACTTTGACTGTGCTATTAGACATATTAGCATGTGCTATTAGTATGCGACTACTGCTGTGCTACTATGCGACTTTGACTGTGCTAGTAGGCGACTTTGACTGTGCTATTAGACGTAATAGGCTGTACTATGCGACTTTGGCCTGTACAATGCGCCTACGGCTCTAGTACGCGTCTGCTGTTATTTGCGACTGCTGCTATAGTTTTTGTCTACTGCTGTAGTATGCTGTCTGCTGCCTTAACATGGTGGGACCTCTACTACTGGAATTAAGGGCGTCGCCGCACGGCACACGAAACGAAAAACGAAACGAGTGCATCGTCCCGCAGAAAATGGCCAGGTTCATCGGTTTGCTATAAATAGTAAAGAGTGTATTTTGTCACCTTTCGTGGGCAGATGCACTCGTTTCGTTTTCGTTTCGTGTGCCGTGCGGCGAGACCCTAAGATCTGGGTACTAGGTGGTTATTTCTTGCTCGTAATCAGCAGTGTTTTTTTTTTTTTTTTTTTTTTTTTTTTTTTTTCTCATGATCAGCAGAGTGCTTTTTTTTTCTATTTTCTTGCTCGTGATTAGCAGAGTGCTTTTTTTTTCTATTTTCTTGCTCATGATCAGCAGAGTGCTTTTTTTTTGAACTATGGACAGAGGATTTGAGGGCTTACTTATGCTAGCACTTTGCTGAATGTATCCAGCCCCAACCACGTCCGGACCTGAATGCATCTGAAGGCAATCACGTCCAGAGCTCAGTTGAAAAAGTGCGGGTGTGAGTATGCCCTGAGTAATGTAAAATATTCATGCTGTGGTTAGGAAGTTGGGCTGAACCATCTTTTTTTTTTTTTTTAAGGGCTGAACCACCCTTTTGGTGTCTCCATGACGGACTTGCGAATGCTGTGTTCTGCGAGGAGAGAATTTTGTGAAAGGTCTGGGATCCGTGCCACATGAAGTGGGTAGGGACTGCTCCGCTTTACTGTGTTTCAGGCGGGATGCAAGAATCGAGGACACGGTATGCTGAACTTGGCCGCGAAGTTGGCTAGATTCCGTTGAAGCTCGAGTCCTATTTTATGAGTCCTCGGTGGTGTTGAACGAATGCGAGTTGTAGGAGAGAGAGAGTAGTAGTAGGAGAGAGTAGTAGGAGAGGTAAATGTTTCTCTAGTGGATTAGTATCTTTCTTAGTGCCTTAGGGAATTGTCCTGAGTGCATTAGCACTTGACGGTTTCCTTAGTGCATTTCAGTTTTTGCCAAGGGCATAGGTGCATTGCTCTCCATTCGCCAACGTGTTGAACTCATCTGTACTTGGAGGTCGTCCAGGTGCATCCAAAACTTCGGCGGGATGGCAAGTGGTGCAACTACCCTTCTTCACCCGAATAGAACGTACGGTCGTTTTAGATGTATTTGGGGTATCTTTCAGTATAAATACAGCGAAATTCTTGGCGGCCTTTCGGGCCCTGTGGGGGTTTGGAATATCGTTTTCAACCAGCAGTAGACGCATTTCGGTTAGCCCTCACGGACTGCGTCATTGCCCCAAGCAGTAGACGCATCTTTGTTAGCCCTCACGGACTGCGTCATTGCCCCAAGCAGTAGACGCATCTCGGTTAGCCCTCACGGACTGCGTCATTGCCCCAAGCGCAAAGGTGTTCACACACTCGGTTTGGTAGGTCCACAGTGGGCCAAGTAGGGGAGTGACGAGGGAGTTTTGGACCCGGACCCCTTGGGCCAGGTCCGCTGGGCCGCTGTAGTCCCAGCAGTAGTTCGGTGTAGTTTGCGTAGAGGACAAGTTGGTACAAACTGCATCTTTCGAACCAGGGATTTCCGGTTTAATGCGTGTCATCCTTGATTGCGCAGGGGCCATGCGAATCTTCTTTCTCTGTATCGTGTTCCAATTTTAACGGATTTTCGCTGTCCACCACTTCAGGCATTTGAGCACGATGTTGGAAAAGGTCCAAAGGTAATTAGGTGCAATTCTATTTTGTGCACGAAGGGTAGACAGAGGAACAAATGCCAGGCAAAATGGCTGTAAGAAAAAAAAGAAAAAAAGAAAAAGAAAGCCTGTAAGCTTAGCTGGCTGATGCTGTCAGATATCCCTGGGTTGAATTGTGAGGAGTTCCCCAGCCTCTTTTCCATTTTATAATGAATTTTTGGGTGCGAAAAAACAACCTAGGGTAAATTAATCACGATTGCCGTGTAAGGGCGCACCCTTACGACGTAAGGATTCTTTCTTTAGTGGTGTGGAACGAGGCCCTTGCCGACCTTCGAGAAACAAGGCAAGAAGGAAGGAAATAATTTTGACAAAACGAGTTTGGAGTCTTTGGACCAAGGAGCCTACGGTCTTCACTGGAATAGAACGGCACTATAGTCGTGTTTGGTGCAGTTTCCAGTCCAGATATGGCTAAAATGACTGGGCGTTCTATTCGGGTGAAGACGGTAGCTCAGTTGGTACACCCATGCACTGTTGAAATACGGACCCGAGTTCAAATCCTGCTCGATGGAATAAAATCATTCTGAATTACCTGAGGCCGGTCCGATCCATGAAGATATGCCAAAAAGGTCGTCACCCTTTCTGGTAAAAGCAAGGGAAAAAACTTAAAATGAGTTTGAGAAAGAATATTCTGAGAAACATGAGGTGGGACCTGCGGGCGACATCCGTGTGGCGTGTGGCATCCTTTACTCCGCGATAAATGTTGAAAAAAACAAAATGTCGCAATTCTGACAACGCAATGTTGTCCACCCGCCGCGAACTGTGGTCAGCTGTCAGGTTGTGGATCTTCCGATGATTCCGCTGGTATGTTGTGCATGTGGACGGTTGATGGACCATGTACATGAGGCCAACACACATTTGTTAATGTTCCCCAACGAGAGGCTTGGAATGACAGACAAGTTGTGGAAGACTCTGACATCAACTGACATCCCTTCATGATGAGAAAAGGGGAACATTTTCATTTTCGGCCTCTTTTGAACGCATGGGCAACGACGCAAACGTAAGTGGAAGGTGTGTGAAAATCCAACCAAAAAAAGTTGGTATGATTTTCACGCACGTTCATGACCCCCAGAGGAGCACCACAACAAAAGCAAAAGAAATGCCACCCAATGGGAGCCCCCCAAAAGTCATATGTTTCCCTACGCTGAAAACCAAGAAAAACACCACCACTGATCACTGTTCTCATCAACGGCACCGAAGGGTCACACGCCCTATCCGCGACTCCACATACATCGTTAGTGGGATCTCCCTCCTGGGGCCAGGACCCACAAGCATCACGTTTTAAACCGTGTCGGTAAGGGTTTTTTTTTTTTTTTTTTTTTGTTTTTTTTGTTTTTGTTTAATTAGCCAGTCCTGTCGTAACCACTAGTACCTTTCCCGCATGGGAAAATAGGGAAAACTGGCTGTTTTCCCAAACTCCTAAAGATTCGGAGGCCGGACCTGACGACGACTGCCATTGATAAATCTGATCGGCGGCCGTCGTTTCGTTTCGGCCTCCGAAAAGGTCGGTGGCCCACCGGAGGCCCGCTATTTTCCCATGCGCCAAAGGTACTAGTGGTTTCTATAATGTGTGACAGATATGGATGGCTACGCGCCATCGATGGAGGGGAAATCGTGCGGGCGTAAGAGTTTTGAACAGATTGGAAAAAAGAGGAAAAGTTTTGGCTGTGTACCCTACGCACTTTCATCGTCTGTTCCTTTCTCTTTTATTTCGAAATCACTGTAGCAGCGTTTCGTTTTTGAGAACTTTTGA